CTGGTAGTCTTTGATTCTTCAACTACATGGGTTCTGGTAGTCTTTGATTCTTCAACCACATGGGTTCTGGTACCCTTTGATTCTTCAACCACATGGGTTCTGGTACCCTTTGATTCTTCAACCACATGGGTTCTGGTACCCTTTGATTCTTCAACCACATGGGTTCTGGTACCCTTTGATTCTTCAACCACATGGGTTCTGGTACCCTTTGATTCTTCAACCACATGGGTTCTGGTACCCTTTGATTCTTCAACCACATGGGTTCTGGTACCCTTTGATTCTTCAACCACATGGGTTCTGGTATTCTTTGATTCTTCAACCACGTGGGTTCTGGTAGTCTTTGATTCTTCAACCACATGGGTTCTGGTAGTCTTTGATTCTTCAACCACATGGGTTCTGGTACCCTTTGATTCTTCAACCACATGGGTTCTGGTACTCTTTGATTCTTCAACCACATGGGTTCTGGTACCCTTTGATTCTTCAACCGCATGGTTTCTGCTAGACCACTTAGGAGGTGGTTTTTGTTCTCTGGGATGCGAGGGGCTTACGGGAACCTGGGCAACGCTAACAATTGATTTTTTGCGAAGTTTAGAATCCGTCCAAGGAATCACTTTTGAATGGTCAGTTTGGGGCCCTTCCGGGTGGAACCCACAGTTGCATCAAACTGTAGATTGGACGGTTACCAACCCACTTGCCCTTACAGAAGGAACCCAGAGCACCAATCTGGGAAGGAGTCTGTAAGCTGCAAGAGCCTGAAATGGGCTGAACACAGCTTGGGCTTTGTGCTAGATGCCCCCCCCTTCTTGGATCGTTTTGAGTGTGCGAAGGGATATGTATGAAACTTTCCTCCAGAGCAAATGGTTTCTCTCACGATGTTTTCGCCAGTTGTTTCCCGGCTTAAGGGACTTTTCAGCTACCACTTCTCAGGGCAGCCGGACAGAGAATCAAGCAGTCCTGGTACCTGTTTGGCACCTACAATTTTCCCAAGCCCTTTCCAAACAGCTTTGGCAGGAACACACTTGCTCTGAGCAAAAAGCACACTGACCAAGCCAGGTAGAAGATCGGCATAGCGTGTTCTCTTCCAGGAACAAACTTTCTACTCGAATCGGGTCTGTGGAGCGAAGCCGGTTGAGAATTGGGTAGCGCCAGTTTCTGTACGTGAATCCCTTTCAAAGTGAACTATGGGAACCCCACGACGGTATCACAGAAAAGGTGATTGTTTTTTATTGTTATTTATTATTTCCGGCCACCCTGCAGCCTCGAATTGAAAATCCACCTTTCTGAGGCAGCGATACGAGCCGCAGGCAGGAGAATCCGTGGCTCGTGGGGATACCCGCGCGGCTCGAGCGAATCCCCGGCGTCACATTGTCTCCAAACGGGCAAGACCCAAATCAACCCCAAAAAGAGCACCATGGAAGCAAATGCTCACTTCCTGAGTTCCTGGACTGTTTTCTGCTTTTTGAGAAGACAACCAGTTTGGGCTTGTTTGGGGCCATCTCTGGAGGCTTGCGACTGGTGTCGTGTTGATATGGGTCATCGCCTCTCAATGCAGGTTTCAGACACTTCTCAAGGTTCCCATGTTCCCATTCAAGAAACTATGATCGTCAAACTCGAACGGAGAGACTTTTCCCATGGCACGTAGAGCTGCCGTCGAGAAAAACGTGAGTGTATGGTGTAAATCCTCATAGCAGTACTTGAGACTGAGCTTGTCTTCCCCACCCATTCAGTCGAGCCCTTTCTAGATGATGGAGCCGGACTATGGCTATGACCCGCCGCCATCGACAACATCCAGCAAGGCCTGGCGGCCTGACATCGCGTCAGGGTGTCGTTTTATGCAGACCAGCCATTCGGGTTATTGTTTCTGGGGTTAATCAAAGTCAGAAACCGGGGTTTCTTCCCTGTATCACTTAGGGGTAACTTTGACAATGGTAAGATCACGGGGCCAGAGCGAGGTTTTCTGTCTTCCTGTCTCTCTCGCTCTCTCTTTGCTTCTTCCTTGCTTCTTTTCTTTTCTGCCTTCGTTCGTCCGTTTGGCCCTCCTTCTTTTCGTCCCATTCTCAAAGCAGCCCGGGCCGAAAGAAACCGAATTCGGCCGCCGCAGGGCGGGCGAGCCAACGCCCGGCGTCCTGGAGCTTCGAGCGTGATCTCCAGTTGGGTGTGGTCATTTTTGTTGAAAAGAGCCGTTTTGATTCGGGCTTTAAAGGAAAACCAGAAGGACAAACCAACATTTTGGGGGTCCCACAAGAAAGACACGGCCATTTGAGATGAATTCAATCACCACGGAAGATACCCAGAAAAACGCAAGGGATTTGCTTAGGGGTAAAACGAGCTCGCTAGATGAAGGTTAGCGGGGCAAGTCCTAGCCAGAAATCGGTGCTGACATCCGCCCTCTCTGATTCTGGACATGGTTTGGGGCAGCCCACTTCAGTACCAGGTGTTGATTTGTGACTCGTTTATATGCATTCAATCCCCAACCAAGGAAGATACTCAGAAAACGCACTTGTGATTCCCTTTAAGGTAGAATGCAGGTTTTACCGCTGGAACTTGTCCCAAGAAAGGAAGCGGACTGGAAGATGACCTCAGCTGAGAAAGATTGCTTGTCCATTTCCATTTTGGAAGAGAGTGCCTTCAAAGCAACACCCATGGACTCGCTTCCTGGGACTTTTTAGCTTTTCGGGAAGACCATTTTAGTAAATACCAGGCTTGGTCGCTGTTTTGGGCATTCTACTCGAGCGAGCCCACTTCGACAGGTGGGACACCTTCCCTTGGTGGGTTCCATGGGAGGGTCGTTTGCGAGGTGCGCGATCCCAACGCCCGAAGCTGAGCTGCAGCTGTGGTTTTGACTTTGGCCAAAGACATTGGGACGTCACTGGGCGGAAGATCCCAGTCCAGTTCAAACAGGTTCTGTGGAAGATCCTAGGGCATTCCCTACTTGGTTGTGGAAGATCCCAGTCCCCTATTGAAAGAGTGGGGGATGGGGAATCGAACACTTTGGTATCAGGCCCACACTGGTCAGGGGTGGTCCGCCTTGACCAGGGACCCCGCAAAACGAAAATAGGTGCTCACGAGTGTGCAGGTGAATCGCTGCAGTTGCATGCCCTTCCAGACAGGAAGCAGTTGTTTGTGGGGAGGGGATTTGGAAATGAGGACGGATGGACAAACAGGTTCTATGGAAGATCCTAGGGCATTCCCTTCAAAGAGTGCGGGAATCGAACACTTTGGTAGGCAAAAGGCACACATACACAAGCATCGATGGAGGTATGTTCAGCTTCGGATGTTTCCAGGGGACCACAATAGGGGTGGTCCTGGGAAGTAGCTCATAGGGGTCCCGATTCCTCGGGTGCATGGATAAAGCCCCGCGAAAGAAGACTCGTTGGTTTTACCTCACGTACCGGCTGGTGCAACTGGCGCTCGGATTTGGTCCATCCGCAGGCTGGCTCCTTGGGGGGCTTGTTCGGCAGCGAACCGCGAGATCCACCGCCCAGGAGGCAGAAATTCAAGACGCGATGCACGCGGGAAAGCTAGATTTTGGGTTGGCCGTTTGCTATGACACCAAGAGAATCATAGTCACAGGGATGGCCCACTCTAAATATCACAAGGGCTATTTGTCTCATGCTCAGATGAGCAGCTGACAAAATGATTGGAGACTTCTGCTGGCTGGCTTTGGGAGCGCGAAAAGGGGGCCACACAACAGGGCCGGGCCTCAATTTCCCTGCGTCCTTTTGGGACCCTGGAAGTACCACCTGTAAGATGGGGTTGAGGGTACCCTCCCCTCCAAACATGGCACATGACAGAGGGTCTCTTGAGGGAATTGAGTGCAGCAGTTGTGAAACGCTCTTGAGACGTGGAGTCGGAGGTATGTGTCTCCCAAGAGCTGCAGTTGCGATTGGGTAGGCCAAGGCCATGTTGGATTTGGGTGTGCCTTCTTTGAGGGTAAATTTCTGGTTTGTGGCTTTCCAGGAAACCAAAAGGAAAAGTACTATTTTGGGGGTCCCAGCAAACACGACAGATCCTCCCAAAGACGGGCCTCTGCTTTCACCATGCCAGGGAGCGAAAGGACCCTCGAGACTACCCGGAGCCGGTTCGAGAGCAACGAGGGCCGAACCGGGTGCGGGAGAGCCTGGAGTCACGGCCAGACTCAGTTTACCTTTTCATTGTTTGCCTTTTGTGGTTCTCCTTCATTTATTTGGAGGCTTGTTTTCCTTGTTGTTCGGTTGTCCATGATTATTTGGAGCTTTTCCTTAATTTGCTTCTCAAACGGAAACAATGTCGCTTTTGCGGGTCCAAGTCTGGCCAGGATTGGGATCCACGCGATCGACACGATCCTCGGGATCACGACCCACAAGAACCCCGGGATTCACGGGATCCACGCGACTGGGATGTGCGGGATCCGCGCGATCGGGATCCACGGGATATGCGAGATCCACGCGACATGCGGGACATGCGAGACCCTCGCGATATGCGGGACATGCGAGATCCACGAGTCATTGCCGGACTTAGATTACATTCTTAATTCTTTGCCTTTTGATTTGCCTTTCTCTTCCTTGTCAACCAGAAGGCTTCCATTTGCTTAAGAAAGTGTTTTATTTGCCCCTGTTATTTTTTAAAGGGAATCTATCACTATTGACATATTGTTATTTCTTCCAGGGGCTTTAAGCAGTGGAGGAAGGTTCATTTTTTGGTTCCGGCCTAGGAGATATGCGGGATGCACGAGACCCGCGAGACCTGCGGGATGCGCGCGACCCGCGTGAGATGCGTGATGTCCGCGACCCGTGCGAGGAACCGGAGGAGGCGAGTGGCTGGTGGGTGTTCAGGAACCCGGGAGTTGTTTAAGCGAAACCATAGCCTGTCTCCCGTGGGGGAACCAACCAATTGTTATCCAAACAGTACGGTTTAACCAAGTGTAAGGTTCAATACGACAATTAAAGGCCTGTTTGGGTGATGGAGATAGAGGTTCCATGACTAGAGCTTTCTATAGCATCCTCCCTCAAACAAACACAGAAGTTGACAAGCCTGTTCCGTTCGGCATGACGGCTTTGAAACTCACTTGGGAGTTGACAACTCAGTTGGCCACAGACATCAATGGGTTAGGCCCCACCCGACCGGGAGCCGGTTCCCTTCTGGATGGCTTTTGAAGGGCAGCCTAGGGGCCGCCAAATTTGGTGGACACTGGGCTGGCTTTGACCAAGTTAGAGCACTTGAACCGACACAGCATCTTAAAAGACTAGGATGGATGTGCTATGGCAATTTAAGACCTGAATGCTAGTCGAGTCGGTCATCAATCCTTTAGGTTGTTTCGCAAGCCACTGTGGCTATGAATTTCGACGGCAACCCCTTTGAAGGCGGTTTCGCATTGGTGGGCGCCTCGTGCCCCCCCCCCCTCCCCCCAAAAGGCCAATGGCAACCGGTTCAGCGGTTGCGATTTCTTACCCTTGAAGGTACAAGCAACCCTTTCGGAGATGGGATCTACACTTTTAGGCGGTGCTTGATTTTCCTTGAAAGAGCTTGACCAACAAGCAGAAGGGCAAACTAGAAGTTTCAAGCACCCTTTTTCCGGGAGCCCCGAAAAAATGGGTGATCAGGTTCAGGGTTTCCTTTTTTATTTCTTTTTTAGGGTGTCCCCTCCAAGAAGACGTCTTCTCCAAGAAGACTTTGTGCAAGGGTATGGTCGTGGAACATGGGCTGGGCCACTTTCTGTGAACAGAAGTACTGTGGATGGACGAAATCCATTTCGCACCACCTAAGAATCACAGTATCTACAGCAAATTGGCCAAACACCCGTCAAAAGGGTTTCCCATTTACGCTCTACAAGAATCAGGGACCCCTAAATCCAAATCCAAGCCGGGCTCCAAACCACCAACCTGACGCCTTGCAGGCTGCTGGCCCCTCTGGTGGTTGGCGGGGTGATCTCTTCGACGACGGCGTGGGGCCCGGGTCTTCTGCCAGCGAGCACGAGTCGCAATTGGACAGTATGAGCCACAATCAAAACCCGGGTAGATGAAGGTTAGTAAGGGACAATCCCAACCATAAATTGCTGCAGCCGCCTTCTTGATTCTTTACCTGGTTGTGGGTGGTAGATGCGCCAGACAACGACAATCTGCAAGGGGCAGCCTTCTGTGCTGCAGGGTGTGCTGAGGAGTTGTTTCTGTTGGGTCGATTGACCAGTTGCTGCATGTGGTAGGTTGCCCTTACTTTGGGGGTTTGGATTAGTGGTCTGGGGATTCAAGCCCTGGTTCTTTAAGCTAACCCCGAAAGCACTTATTCCAACCACCAAGTGGGTATGGGTCAAAATTAAACCACCAGGAGACCGCAGGTTTTAGTCCTTGGTTCCATTTACCAGGGCTCCATTTTGGGCACCTATTTTTGACCCACAGCCAAGTAGAGGGAAGCCTAGTTGTTGCATGTTGCTGCATGCTGACGGCCTGCTTGGCACTGCGGAGGCCCCAAAGTGCCGACAATGCCCCGCCCCAACGGAGGCCCCGGGAGTGCGGGAAGCAGTTTTGGATCGCTTGTTGGGGCCGTTGCACCCAAAAGGCGGTTTTTCGTCTCAAAGTGGGTTGCAACTGGGTGTCCAATTGACTTTCCTGAAACACCAACCTCAAAGGCGTTCCCCCCCTTCCCGCCCCCCTCCCGAAAAAGCCAATTCCAAGATCGGGGGCCCCCATGACCGGGACCCATCTGCTGATCGAAAGGTAACCACCTTTTGTAAATCCGTTAACGTCAGAGATCCTTGATCATTTCCCTGCAGCTTATGACTTTGTGGACTTTGCGAAACAACTAGATGATCGGCCAGTCTTAAGTGCTCCGTATGGGTGGTTGTTTGTTCTCCCTTGTATGTGTGCGGTATTTCCCATGTTGGGAGGTCCTTGTAGACATCAACTCTGCGATGTGTTGTACCACAACGTGCCATGGTTTTGTGGAAGCTTGCAAGTTCCAGAAGTTGCTCATGATTTTTAATAGTCAGAACCACCTCAAAAGTGATCGGTGGACATGAACCCCCACCTGAATGATGTCCACCCACCAAAGGGTCCCCATTGCTGAAACGCTGCCAGCAAGTAAGTTTCCCGATTTGATTTTGAGAGAAGGGTGTCTACAAACCCTGGAACGTACGTAAAGACAAAAAAGGACAACGGAGATTGCGGACACGGACCTGGCCGTGCGACATGTTTCACAAATCCAAGTAGGATCGGATAGATCCTGAACCATGGACACACCCTGAAACGTTGCCATCGCTCCGCAGTTTCCGTGTATGTCAACCGAAGGTTTATGAATCCCCGCTATCCCATTCAACATGTCCAGATTGCGGGGATCCCTCAACGAATTTGCCAGGTGCTTAGACCCAACATGAATCGACCTTTGGGAAATCACCCATGAAGCTTGCGTTCTGCGTCCCTTAAGTTACGAACCCCATGAACATCTACAGGTTGGGGTTAGCCATTCTGCTGATGGGAACCACCCTGTGACTAGACAGGTTTCATGGTCACGCACCACTTCGGGTCGCTGGATTTCCATGATTCAGCCAGAACCCGCGCCGCGTCAACCAAAAAGCAGGTGTGGGTCAAAATGAAATCACCAGGGGACCACAGGTTTAGTCCTTGGTTCCATTTACCAGGGTTCCGTTTTGGGTACCCATTTTGGACCCACAGCCAAGTGGGGGTCCACCCAGATGAACCCATCTTCCGCGGCTTGAGGACGGCCATCGAAGGGTGGAGCAGGCGGGTGGGTCAGAATGGGAGCCATAACAGGGGTACGGCCCATGTTCCTGCATGGCCCTAGTCACTAATGGTCACTGGATTGCAATGGCTTTTCTTGCTGGGTGGGCCTCCTGAAGTTAATTGAGATCCATCCCACGAACGCCAGGGTAGATGCTCCAAAAAAGCACAAGGGATGGTGTGGAATCGGCCCCGCAGATTTTGGTGGGGTTGGGGTAGGCCATTCCCCAATAAACTCTTTCGTTCAGGGGTTGAATGGGCCTCGGTCCAAAACAAATGGCCTGACCGTTGAGGTTTCCCTTTGGCGATGGTCAAGCTTCCAAAAATTGTTAGATGAACATAAATTGCTTCCGACTCCAAACCTGACAATGTCTCGTCAGTTTGGAATGGGGAGATATCTAAATCAAGTTGGGAAAGGACCTCTTGTGGATGGCGTTTGAGGGAAACCAAAAAAGTCAACCCCTTTAGGAATCACTTTTTCAGGAAGCTCGTCTCGCTTGCCAGAACAGGTGGCGAGAGGCTCCAGTTTGTGCTTGTCCTGGGATCAGCAATCATAGCTGGGCGCCAACGTTCCAGTGGTTAAATGCTGTTCTTTCCTTTCAATCATGGCCGTCTCGAGCTATTTACCGAATACGGACAGATTGACTCCACTTTGCGTAGTTTTGTTTGTTTTTGGTTTTTGTTTGGGGGGGGGGGGGAAATTGACTGGGTCACTACGTAGGCTACTGACAACTTGCTAACATGGGCAATAAAGACCCAAGCAGTCGACGAGCGTCTCGAAGGCTTCCGAGACATGGAAGCCGACTTCCGGGAGGAGGAAGAGGAGCCAGAGGAGAAACGTTTCAAGGCGCGGGCAGAGGGCGCCGGGCTTTCGGATGCATCTTGCTTTGCCGGGCTTTCGGATGCATCTTGCTTTGCCGGGCTTTCGGATGCATCTTGCTTTGCCGCGTTCTGAAATCCAACAATTTTTCCGGTACACCATAGGATGTATGGTACATTAATGGGATGAGTTGCCGTAGTTAAAATGATCAGCAGACAATTGGGTATCGGTTTTGGGTGGTCCCCGATCGGTTTACTGTAGCAATGTTGTCAGCTGCTCCAAACAAGGTCTGACATATCTGGTGTGTTGTGCATTGTGTGACGTTGGGGAGACTCGCCTGAAGCTGTCCAAAAACAAACACGGAAAATGTCCCATGTCCTTGAAAGCACCCGTAAGTTACCGCTTTCATGAGATATTCGGTCGCCCAAAGGGGTTTGCGCCCAGCCCCAAAGGTGCCAACTTGAACACCTGACTGGTTGGTGGACATGAATCCCCATGTGGCAGGTTTGTCTTGTTTTGCGGGTACTTTGGGGCACCAGAAAACTGGGTCCCCTGTTTTAAGACACACCCATGTAAATGATGTCCACAGGGATAGCTGTTAAAGTGTACACCCAAATACATGGAAGGAAGCATGAGGTATTGGCCCATGAATCCCCGTAGTTCATCGTTTTGGGTCCCCATTTCTGAAAGCACAAAAATGCTGTCTGAAAGATAGGTGCGGTTGTCAGGGGAAGCCAATACAAAGAAAAAGCAAACACCTGGAAACTCCATTCTTAAAGAAATACACGCGTAGGGGACTTTTGGTGGAATGACTCGGGTTTTTCGGATAGTCATGGGAAAAAATGGGCCCTTTCGAGTGTTTAGACCAGCTTTGAGCCATATGGCTATGGGTCAAAACCCAAATTCCGTACCCCGAGTGAACATCCCAATCCCCACTGAAATAGGTTCTAAAATGGGTGGTGTACCTACCCCAAAATGGGATCCCGTTGGTGTTAACCCACGGCCACATGGGGTTTTGGGGATATCGGACTCTTGGCCATGACAAAGCAAGACTGGAGGCCGTTTCCTGGCGCTGAAACGAAGTATGCCCCTAAAATCGTGTGCGGTCAGTGCCATGGTTTACTTCACTTTCGCCAGTTGTTGATCGGCGGCCATCTTGTGTGGGGGTCCATACACTCCTCAACACTGCCAAATTGCACCACTCAAGGAGGCAAACGCTTCAAACATTGGCTGTTGGTTTTGAAAGGGAAAGTAGGTAAACCCCCAGCTTGTGGAGTATGTGTTGTTCTTTGCGTGCAGGAGCCGCCGGCGCCTGCGAGGCGGTGTGCCAATTGTGCATTGCAACGTGTTGAGAGAGAGAGAGAGAGAGAGAGAGAGAGAGAGAGAGAGAGGGGGTGTTTCCTTTCATTGTTTTTCTGGTTCTTCCGCTGAGATGGTGTTCAAGCCCTGCTCAAAGGTCCAGATTTTATTTGTTGTTTACACCCCCAGAGAGTTTGCGTCCACCAGCTTGGCGCAAAGTTTTTGTTTGAATCGAAACGGAAAGGACGCCACACTTCAGGTTCGGCCCAGTTCAGTGATTTGCGCCTTGGTTTATAATCGGTAGTGCTGACAACTAGAGCCAATTATGCCACTAATGTGGAAGCTATCTTAGACGAGGTCCCACATTTGGATGCTCGAGTGGTTAGCCACTTGGGTGAGAAAACCCACTAACAGGGGCAACCCCACATTCACGGAGGACTTATGAGCGGGTTACTTTCATTTGCTTAAGAGTATTTGTTAGTTCTCCCCGTTTGGTTTAAAGGGAATCTCTCTCTACAGGAAATACGTGCTTATATTTTCCAGAACACTTAAGCAAATGGAGGGTTATAACCTAGGCTACCAACAACTTACTTATTCCAAACACAGAAGGTAACCAGTCCAGGACCTCTCTGGCTGGTAAAGCTGTGTTCCTAAAATTCGCGAGGATATTTCGAGAAATGGGCAGCATGGGCACAAAACAAAGGGACGCCCAGTAGAGCACTTCATACATCAAGTATACAAAGAAGTATAAGTAGTTATAAAATATATCAATACATACTGTATTGATAGATTTAAAATCATAATACATCTACAAGTAGGCATGCCCCGAGCACAAACCGGAGGCCCGCGCCTCGCTCCCGGCGGCAGCCAGCGCCAGCGGATGACAGCCCAACGCTTACGCCAAGGGGACGTGGACTTCAATCCATGGGTGTTTCCCAAAATAGGGCCCCCGTAAAAATGGGTTGGCTCCTTTGATTTCCTAAAAGTGTGTTTTGTTCTGTTCTTTTTTCTTGGAGAGACCAAAATGGCTTTGGTTTTCCGTTTGGTGTCCCTCTACAACCCACCAAAAAGGGGGACCAACTCCAAACAGACCTGTATCGGTGTTTGTCAAAATAGGGTCCGAAACAACACAAAAGCCATTCAAAAAGCGTTGGCCCCTGCTTCGAGAAACAGCCGTATCGCTTTGTGCTTGTCTTGAGGGTAACCTGTTCTGGTTGGTTTAAAGGGACACCAAGAGGAAGACCAAATAGCACATAGTGTGCCTGGACAAAGTCTTGCACCAGTTGATCCTGGGTGGGTTATGTCAGTATTTACAAGGTTTCATCTGGTGAAAAGTGGATTTCATCCACAGTATGATGGTATTCAAGGCATAGCCCTTGGCAGGGGTCCATGAAAAAGGAAGCCACCGGTTGGTAAGACAACCATTTTGGGTTCGTGCCATGGTCATAGGACCGTTCTTGTACTTCGGGTAAACATTGGGATGGATCATCCACCTAATGATTCCTGTTAAGGGAAACCTGACCGTGAACCATACAAACGGAGTTTTGACAATCATAATAGCGCCACCCGTATGCCAGAGCGTGATCGCACGGAGAAAAGGAGTTTTGACGCTTGACCATGGCTCATACTGTGGATGGACGAAATCCTGCACCAGTCTGAAACCATTGTTGGTTGGTATATATTTACAGGGGCAGCGAATCATTTCAGGGTTTCTGAATGGTGGTGCAATCGGATTTCGCAACCATCCACTTTAGGACCCCTTTGTTGGATCGTTCTTGGGCGCAGAAACACAGACGGATTTCGCAACCATCCACAGTCGCGCATCTGGTGCGAATGGATTTCGTCCCTCCACGGAATGCCGAAAGATTGAATTTTTTCAATATTTGAGCCGAAAAGATTGAAAAACATCAATTATTTAGACCCCCCCCCCCTCTCCCCCCCCCTCCCCCCGGTCTCAGGCTCGATTCCTCCCTGGTCCATCCCCCCCCCCCGGGCAGTGGCTCAGTGTTCAGCAGTCTCGGTTTGCCCGTTTTGGACTTGGTGCTACGAACTTTTACATGTTCCACCGATTCAGCTTGTTCATTTGAGACCTCAGTCTTCTCAGTAAACCACCTCGCAAGAATCTTTGCACACGCAGCATGCAGAACCCAGAGGTGCTTTAAGACAGCTTCTGACGCCTCTCGTTGTTTTCATTTTTCAAGGCTTGCCACGCCACCATGTGCGTTTGCGTGTCGCATCCTACGAATCTTGCCGGGCCTCTCGTTGTACACAAGCTACCCATGAATCCACTCTGTCACCGACCCATCTCATGCAACAACTGCTAGCTTTCGTTCACCCGCTCCTCAAGTTTTTGGACCACCCCAAAAATGGTGCCCTACCAAAAGACATACCCAGGTCTTCGTTTCTAGGGCCCACCGCAGCGCGCGCGCGTGCGAGGCTGGGGCGGCCAGTCCCTGGGCGATGCCCTGGCACCGAAGCAGGCGCGAAGACCGGCCTCGAGCTGGTTTGGGGCGTGGTGCATTTGGAGGGTACCGCTTGTAGGAGTGGTTTGAAGGGGAAGAACAAAAGGAGAACCGGCAATTTTTGGGGTACCCCCCCATTTTTACACACAAACTCAAACCCATTCGAGTCGCGGTTTGGTCAGAAGGTCCAGTTTTCTGTGGTTCATTTAGGGTTCAGGACTGGACGAGACGAGACCTATTTGTCCCACAAAGCCAAAGGACGAAACTCGAATTGTCACCTGTCCAGTAGGGTAAAAGTAGACTTTGACCGTGGCTCATTTGACTCCTAGCCAAATACCGGTTGTCGGTTGGGGTGCAGAAGTAGGGTTCCTTCTTTTCTGTGCGAATCCCTAGTTGCCGCTTTGGTTGAAAAGTAAAGCAGTTTCATCCATGGCGCAGACATGACGCGGGAGCCAGTGCAACACAAATCCCTTGCAGAGGCTCTTCCAAGGAGCCAAATCGGCACCTCCCGTGCGTGTCGTGCAAGTTCTTCGCCAGAGACGGAACGTACTTGTGTTCAATGACGAAAAGGTGTGCAAAGCAGCATGGTCATCATTCTCTTAAACATGTGGGCGTTTAGATTGACCATAAGACGGCGATTCAAGGGCACTGTGAGGGCTCTTGGAAGTTTGAACCGCAGCCGCAGAGGAAGTTCAGTTCTTGATAGCCTTGTTTGGCTAGAAAGGCAGATTGACTCTGAGCTCCCTCTCAAATACTCCACACGAACATCCCCCAAACAATGGGTGACACATGGGGAATATGCGTGGCCTCATGTTGATGGTTTTCGGAGGCGATTGTCAATCTGCCGTAGTGGAACCCCAGAATTCAGAAATACCCGCTGGTTGATGAATCATCAAAGGTCCCAGATGTTTGCCCAAATTCATCTGGCAGGATAAGACAACTCCCGGGTTGACATCGTGTAGACTTTTGTGGGGTCCAGGGGTTTGCCGGTTTGCTGGCCTCCCGATTCCTTTGGCGCCTTCAGGCGACTCCATCTGGATCAACTGCAACCGGAGGTGACGGGCGGGCTTCGCTCGAGTCAAGTGCGGGGTGAAGTTGTACGTAGAACTTGGCTGCTCTCTGGTTCGACCGACCTAACCTTTGAACAAGCCCACCCCGCCCCACCCCGCCCCGCCCCGCCCCGTCCCGCCCCACCCCACCCCACCCCACCCCACCCCCCGAAAAAGTGAAAGCCGGGAGCGGGATCACATCCACAAGGGAGTCCCTATGTATACAAATCCAAAATGGCTTCCCTTGGTGGATAAATGGAACCGATGGAACATGTACATCCGCCAGAGACCTCATGATTTCTAGTTAGGGTGCCCCGTCATTAGCAAAAGGGAGCCCTAGTCTTCTCTCCGCGGGCCACTCCTGACAGGGTGCTTGTGGAAAATACCACAGTAGCCAGAATCCACATTCACAGTCAATTTTAGGGTTTTCTCAAAGGTTGGCCACCAAGATGGTTTAAACAACTAGACCCCGAGCCCGTAGGAACAAAAAGGAGGTTGTTTAAGCAATTTTGGTTTGGACCTCACGGGCACGGGTGAGTCTCTGAGACCCAAGATGCTGCGGCCCAGATGGGTGTTGGCTTCTTTTCGCCACCGAAGCCGACCCTGGCGCAAGGGACAGATACCAACTCTAAAGTATCCAGTGGTCAAGCCTGATTTGGTGGGGTGGTGGGGGCCGGTTGGGTCCCAAGTTGCAGGACACCTTCTGTTTTTGCTGTTTGTTCCATTCTTACTTTCCATATTCTAAGGGATGCTCATGTTCACAAACATGGGTAAAAGCCCAAATGAGTTTGCAAGAGTGGGTGAAGAGACTGGGGCGGTCGCGTCGGACCATGCGAGGTGCAGGTGGCAGTAGCAGCAGCAGCGTGCGCAGCGGAGGGCAGAAGTCAGGGGCGCCAGCAGGCGCCAGGGACCTCCGGTGGTAAAATCGAAACCACTTCCTACAACAAGGCTCAGGGAAGTCTCTACCTTTTGCCGATCTTTGTTTGTTTTGCTCGTTTTTTTTTGGAGGGTCCGAAGCGCCATTTTCTGAACCTTGCCCTTTTAAGAAATACCCAGGACCAACACTCAGAGTTACCTCTGGCGCATGGGATTCCATTCCTACGTCCAACCAGCTGAGGAACGGGATTTGAATGGCCCATTTGTTTCGAGCCACGAGCCCTCGAGGAAGAAGCGGGCAATGGGAGGTTTCCAACTTGGCAGAAGCCTTTTCTCAAAAGTCTCCAAGCGTTCGAGAAAGACAACACAACCGACGTGGTGAGTGGTGGATATCCCCCCGAATTTGTCAACCCGTGAAGGTGGGTGGGTAGAAATCCCATTGAACGGGACTGAACCACTCACCTGACGTGTGGTCCTGAAAGGCAATGGTCCAGGGCTCATGGGATCTTAGGCTTTGTCCCTTAGAAGTTACTCGTTGTGAAGCCAGAGTCCCAGTTGGACCTCGGTCCCATGATTTGTGAGGCTTCACCTAGGCATAGAAAGAGATTGGCCACCATTCCCCGCAACCGTACGGGCACGTGCTCCAAATCTATGCCTTCTTTTCCCTTCACGTACTCCCCCACGCAATGGGTTGCATCATCTGCTTGTGGCGAGCGGTTCCACCGATGCGGTCAAAGCTCTCCGTGCAGGTCCTTTACTTGGCCATCCTGACTCTTCCTTCAGGTTTTGGTCGGTACAACTTGCGGAGTTGTGTGGGTTTGTCTTTTAGGGAACCCCCCAAAATAGTGAATGTCCTGTGTTGGAGTCCCGCTCCAAATCACAAACAGGGTGCCCACAAAAAAGACGCACGGGTCTGTCTTTTTTGAGGCCACCCTTTTTGGGTGGTCTGAAACAAACCCACACCCATGTTGCTTGCGCTTGATTCAAAACGGACGCGACAGGTGCTGACGGGAAATCCGCGGATTGGATTACAACCTGGGCCCCGACCTCGTTTCTTTTAGTTCGATGGATCGCGCTTTGGGGGTTGTGGTCATGTTGGATTCGGGTTTTTCTTGTGAGGATGCTTGTTTCAGGTTGATTGGTTTCAAGGAAAGCAGTAGTCTTCTTTTAACACACACCAAATCGATCGTCTCAAAATGGGAACCCTAAAAAACGGGGGGGGAGAAGGGGGACGCTCAAAGCATCGTTTCAATCTTGGACCCCAACAATCCCAACAAATGAAATTGTCTCAACATAGGGAACCCTCCTTTTGGACGGATTTCAACGGAAACGATGGGAACCTGTGGCCACGTTGGGGGTGTCCGCTTATAATGAGCGACATTGGCTGAAGCGCTCACAGCAGATGTTTCCCTTGCATCACCGGGCATGGGTTGATTCCGAGTTGTCACGTTCCCGCATGACCGCATGGCCATGACATGTGCGGCGCCCGACTCTTCTTGCAAGGCGTCACAAGGGAACCCTTGATTGAGGGTCTTGCCATTTGACAGCCGTTTCGGGGCCTTTGTTTGCGGATGCTTATTGAGTGCAGACCAATTCTTTGGAGGCCGACAAGTTTGACACCCACATGGGCCTAGTCTTGTTTGAGGCAGAAGCTACCCTTCTAGAGGTTGGTTTGAAGGAAAGTCAATATGAAAGCCATCAACAAAGCTTGTGCCACCAAATGGCATATTTTGTCGAGTCTGCACGTGGGTTTGCCCCAGATTCCCAAAATGGGTTTACCTTTGATCGCTTTGATGGGTTTCCTTCAACACCTGCCCAAAAAAGTGGGGTTCCCCCAAACCACTCCCAAGAAAGGAATTAATTGCACACCCCCACCCCCACAACATCCCAAAAAATATATATATCTATGACGCCAAATGTGCTGCAAGCGCACACTTCTCCCACAGACACGAGGTAGTTCGGTTGAACCCACCCCCCACGGCCCAAACTTCCGCTGGGCTCTTCCGCTTCCGGTTTTATCGAGGTGCGTTCCCTGCCGGAGTCCCACGTGCCGGAGAAGATCCGGGAGGACCTGGCGGGGCTCATTGCGGCGGGAGCCCAAGCCGAGCCAAAGCCCGGGGCTGGAGGCGACTCCCAAGAAGCCAAGAAGTTTTAGTCTTCGGCGCGGAGGGTCGCGGCTGAAAGGATCCTGGGCCATGCTTTTTACGCCAATCGGATTGGACTACTCTGATCTCAAAATTAGGGACCCCTCGTGGTTGCTTCAGGTGCAGGTCTGAAGGTTTCGCTGCTTTCGTTGTTTTTCCTCTTTTTTTCTGGACATCCAAAATGGGTGCTGCTGGTTTGAGACAGACCCAGCTGTGCTCATGGCTGTGGAAAGTTAGGGTTTGGGGTTGCCACTTTCTGTGAGCCACATGAATTTTTAAAGTGATAAAGTTGTCTGGGGGTGATCTTTCTCCCTCCCCCACTTGCACAGCACCTGTTTCCCTTTCAAATCAAACACCTGAAAAGAGGACCAAGTTGGTGACTGGGCTTGCCCGAACCAAATTTGGGGATGTGGACCGCAGGTCGTCCTGATTCTAGCATTCCATTTTGGGGCTAATTTTTGAGCCGCAGCCATTTACTTGAGAGCGGAGAGCAGCGACCATCTCATTGCCCAGGGGCTCAAACTCACTGCTCGTGCATTAAAAAAAAAACGGGTGAGGGTGACCAAAAAGTGGAACCCTGGAGACACTCATACACCTAGGGAAGGTAGAGCCATGACTAGCATGAGGATTTCTGTTGACCAAGGTTTCTATCCCTGGTTAGGTGGGAATGTAGAAAAAGGGCCTCTACGAACCTCGAAACCATGTTGGGTTGCGAACCAAAAGTTGAGTTTGGGTGCCGCCGCTGCTCACTTGAGAATCAACGTCAGAACTGGGGGTTGATCAAAAGATGCTTTCCACGGGATGACCATTCGGGAAACCACCAAAAAAGATGACATACCGGGTTCTGCGAAAAAGACAATAATAAAACACCCATCTCCCCGAATCCATTTTGACAACAGGCGCCAACAACCTTGCCCCCCAACTTCAAAATTGAATGTGCCTCTTGTTAATGAAGCCTTGGGAAAGAACGCCCATTTTGGCTTCAGACGTCACGGCTCTCCTTGACAACATTGAAGTTGGGGGGCCAGGGTGGGTGCGGGAAAGATAGTTGGGCAAGAAAAGATGGGCGTTTTTTGTTTCTTCTTCTTTTTTCCGCGGGACCCGGTATTCTGACTGAATGGGAATAGTTACCCTAGGTTGACTTGGGGGCCAGGAATGCTGGTCAACCCCCTGAACTTGGTTTGGGTCCAACTTGTTCGATAACTCGTTCGATGATCATAGTGATGATCATGATGACCCCGGGGACCTTGTTGCCGGAAGCCATTGAGAGACAGCGGTGGTGTAAGCCGGTTGCTTTAAAGAGATTGTTTGCACCAACCTATGTTTGCTCTTTGGTTTGACCTTTACCGTTTTGGACAATGACTGCTTGCCGCGAAGTAGCAAAGGGTAACACCCAGGGTGGTGGGAAAACCAGCTCAACCTTCCGATTCCCGAAGGCTTGGGCATCATTTGTCCAAATCAACACATCCACCTTAAGTGGACAAGTGTTGGGAACCGTTGGCCAGTGCTCCCCGAAAGGTGATCCTTGATCAGGGTGCCAGGTGTGGCTAGCACTGCAGTCGTCGCGTGCGTTCTTTTCTCATGCGTTTGCGTCTGAGGAAGGGCAGATGGATGGGCGAGCGTTCTCAGATTATGCCGCTTGGAATGCAGAGCTGGGAACTCGTTGATTGTTCGAAGGGGCCCCAGCCTGTGCTTGGCCAAAACCCGCAAGCCCAACAGTGGAAGGAGACTTGCCCCCGTTCAAAACTTGGCGTCACGCTAGGAAATCGCTCCATAAGGTGGTTCTGTCTTCGTCAGGGCTTGTGCTGAATCCTGGGAGGTGGAAGTGCTTCGTCTTCCAAGGAAAGCATGCAGCCGCTACACATGCACACACACACAGACAAATGACTTTGAATTGAGTTACCTGTACCCTCTCACTAGTTAACGTGGAACCTGACAGGGGGTCCCTTTAAAAGGAAACTGGTGTTCCAAGACCACCCTGTGAGGTTCCATGTTAATTGGTCAGGGGGTACCTCCACTCCAACACTCCTGGACATAGTTACATATCTGGGACCGAGAGAACCTTCTAATTTACTGCCTCAGGCCGCAGAACTAAATTCAAGCTAGTCATTGAGGGTGCTGGGACAGACTGCAGACCGTGTTCTTTCGGTCAGGGGGGGGGAGCCAGCTCTCCAATGGTGGTGTTCCTTTCGGTTCCTTTTAAATCAACACCATCACAAAAAGCGACACCAGGAAGACCTCAGGTCTTCCAGGCTTTCGCCTCGAGTGGCGTGCGCTTCGCGCCATTCAGCGCCAGCGGCGCATGCGAAGTTTTGGTGGCTGGGAAGGATGGCGCCTCTCCAAAGTGCAAAAACACGCGCAGAATGGTGTCCCAAGAAGGACTGGAGAGCGGCACGTTGATGAACCAGTATTCATACGGGTTCATGCATCTCAACTGGTGTGAAGTGGGTTTTGTCCATCCACTGTATGTTTGACACACACAAACACACCTCTATGACCTGTTCGCCTCAAGACATCTTGCAATGTTGCTCGCCGTTAGGAAATGGTCTGTCAAGTTCCATGATGCGGTGCGGGTGGACAAGTCAACTGAATAAGAAGGGACGCAGACAGCAGAGCAAACCGCTCTGAATCATTTCTGGCGAGCTTACCAATTGGAGAGTAAAACGAGCAATTCCGCCCACCCAAACCACTTTCTGCCCAGGTCCAGAAAGTGCCGCCAGAGGCGGGAGGGACGGCAGAGAGGCGTCAGAAAGGGGGCGGTGGTTGATTCGTAGAGTGCGGGCTGTTCAGGATTTTTGCTGTTGCGTGGTTGAACTTCTTGAACCCTGGTGAAATCCCTTCTGCAGGGGTAGTTTGAGGGTCCAGGTTGTTGGAATCAAACAAATGTCTTTGTTGAAGGAATTGCTTCTGATTGCTAGTCAGGGAAGACACGCCGGTTTGGGAATGTGCTTCGGGTTAATACTTGTCAAAAGAGCCACTAAAATAGATCAGCTCCTTCCCCGAAGGGGAACCGCCACATCAGCATAGTCCTCCGTAATCTGAAGTTAAGCATAGAACCTCCAAATGCCCACCCAGCCACCCACCCACCCACCCACCCACCCACCCACCCACCCACCCACCCACCCACCCACCCACCCACCCACCCACCCACCCACCCACCCCCCCCCCCCCCCCCCGCCCCGCCCACCTCACTGTGCGTGACCCCTTGCCAACCTCGACCAGTCACCGCGCCAGGTCTGTGCGCCGAAGCATGCGATGAAGCTGAAGGCGACGACTCGACTCGGACGTTGGAACTTTGGAGAAGTTGTAACCACTTGGATCGATGAAGCCTGCTGTTGACCCCATATTAGTCGGGGTTCCTAATCTTTGGCGCATTTTGCCAAGGGATGTGAGGACTCTAAAACTTTTTGCCAACTAATGAAACGGTTTTCCATGAACCACCAAACAGGGGAGCAGAAAGCAACCGAGTAATGTTGACCCCAATCTAAATCGAATATGGCTTGCCATTACAAACTGCGAAGCGGACTTGGTAACCTCCACACTTGGGAATTCCTACCAACTGCGAAGCCTACTGCGGATGGACGCGAAATCCGCTCGCACCACGAAATGAAACCATAGTTGAAGCAGGTGGGGCATGGGTTCACGGTAGACCCCTGTTTGTTTGGTAACCTTGGCGGTTTCAGATGGCAGGGTCTCCAGAAATCGTTGACGTGCTCTGAATATGAAGCAACACACACACACACAACAAGTGCCTTTTTTCCCCATGTCCAGGATCCCCTTGATACTGTCCGAAAGGCAGCTGTTGGAGCTAGCAGAAGCTCATTCGACAGAGTTGGTGCAGTTGGGCCTTGGTTCAGCTGTTCCCAAAGTTTCCAGGGTAGCTGCACCACTCCCAGCCCAGTGCCATCACGGATGAGATATGGCCCCTAGGTGGCAGAGTCAGCAGTCCAGAATAGGTGAGTCTCTTCTTTCGGAACCCTCGATGAGAATTGCGGGGCCAGGTCACCAGGTCCCAAGAGGATCAACGGGTTGGACTTTGGGGCGGTTAACAGGAAGAGGGGTGGTGTTCCACCAAGAAAGGGAGTTACCCTCAAAAAAGGACACGCCCGTTTGTGGTTGGAAAGGTTTCGCCCCCTGAGAACGAGCAAGTCATGGCGGCCCTGGTCGACCAAATCGTTTGGGTCACGGTTCCCCTCCCTCGGCTTCCCGCAACCAGCCTACTTTCGGGCCTCAAGGCCTTGTTGGTTTATGGCGGGCTTAGAGGGGATCTTGTGAGTTTTGTCAACCTCCCCCCCCCCACAGCTATACAGATTGGAACCAAAGACGGAAGGGGGTTGCGTTGACGAATCGCCAAATGAGAGTTTTGTGTCAAAACTGGGTGGAACCCTTCCAAACCCTTTTCAGCCAGTGCAAAAAATACTAGTTGGATGAGTTGCCTATTGCGGGCCGCTTGAAGGGGTCCAAGTTGAGGCTTTTTGGCGCAGATCGGAGCTGTGCGGCAGGCTGCATGGGCTAACGTCCTGAAAGAGGCGGAAGTGGCAGAGGCTCGTAATGAGAAGTTGCGCTTGCGGCGGGTGGTGTTTGATGTCCGGAGATTCTCCAAAAAGATTCCTTGGGCCTCCAAATTGATTTTAGTGTTCGGTACTACGCAGAACTTGTTCCAGCACCGCTTTTCCCCATTTCCAAAACCTTCTTGGTACTGTCCAAACAGCAGTTGGGACCCGGGGGCTGGTTGTTTTTGTTGTTCTCGTGTACTCCAGATTTTGGCCGGTGCTCTCCAGATGACCATGCAACCCGTACAAAGACCGTTCTGAGCGGAAGCTCCCTTTAGGTTGATGCCCTTAGCGTGTGAAGATGTCGGGGAGGGGCAATGCAGGTGGGCCTGGCCTTTTTTTGGAGGGTATCCCCTTTTTTGGTCCTCCCTTTGGAGTTCCGTGCATGCCTTCGGCCCGCCGGCAGATGGCCGCTGCTTGCGCAGTCTCAACCAAGCCTGCGCAGAAGGCCGCGTGAGTGCATGCCACGCAATCGCGGTTGTGCGTAATATACGGGGCTAAATGATTCCGAGTGGTTTACTCCTAGAATCATGACGAAGCTTGCTGTTGCAGTACCCCAAACCCCCATACCAATTACTTAGCCCCTTATATTACCTTCTTATATTACCTTGTCGTGAGAAAGTACTACTTCACATAAGAAGGGCTGCGCCAGACTGCCATCCCAGCTGCCAGGTGCCCTGTTGCAGGGTAAGTCGCAAGTCTGAGCTTTGCACAATGGCTTTTTTGGTTGCCGACAGGCGGCAAATGTCCTCGTAGCCTGCGGGTTGCAAGGTGTATGCGTGAGAGAATGCGTCCATGTAAGTTAGCAACGTGCGAGCAAATAGTCTGAATGGATTGTTCTCCAAGAGGTAGGGAGCCCCCCGAAAGAAAAAAAAGAAAAGAGAGTAGGTTTCCCCTTTGGTTCCCTTCAAGCACCATCCAAGATGGGTGACTTTTCCGATTTTTGCACATCCCCTGCAGCGATGCCAGGCTACGATGATAGTTGTTTGAGCTGAAGATGTTCTCTTGGGAGGCGGGGATCGATCACCTCCCGCGTGAGCTTCAGGTTTTGTTGGAAGCCCATGCCAGTGGCAAACCAACAGTTCGTTTGGCCAAGCCGCTCAGCAAGTGAGCCACGTGCTCAAAACCCGGGTAGAGGAAGGTTAGGGGAGCCACAATCAAAACCGATTCGGGTAGATGAAGATTGGTAAGGGGCAGTCCCAGCCAGAAATAGTTCCAAATATATCCGCCTTCTTAATTCTTGAAGCATGGTTTGGGATTACGACCATTTTAGTACCGGGTTTTGAGCAAGTGACTCAAGTGAGGGGCTTTGGACGTTTCGCCTCAAAACGGAGGACCCTCCCCCACAAAAAGAAAGATGCGTCCCATTTTCCCTTTAGACAAGCCCAAGAAGACTCCCTCAAGAAACAACACACTCAAATAGGAAGAGGACCCCGTCCAGAAAACAGATTTTTTGTTGGCACAAGGTGCCCGCCGACTGAATTTGGGCGCAGTTTATTTGCATGCGACTTTGTTCTGCGCAATCCCGGGGGTTGCGCCGAGCTGACTTCCTGTGGCTTCAGGGCCACCTTTCTGCCAGGATCATCCAGGATCCTTGGAACCATCCTATTTCAACTTGGCTTTCAGCTTGGCTGAGCACACTAGCATTGTTGTTTCGAAACATTTTGCATTTTTGCTTATTGTGGTTTAGTGGTTGAAATCCCCACTTAACTGCTAAAGTTTAAATGTTGCTCCCCTTCCAACGTAAACCAAGTTCTTGAAAAGAGCTTCTTCTTGTCGCAGCCCAGCGCCTGTTCATACCATTGGACGGATCCCAAAGTTACGGCCAATACGTGTGTATTGCCCCAACGTCCCCCGACGGCCCGCCTGAATGTGTCAGAAAGCATGCGCAGGGCCAGTGTTTTGAGAGGTTGAAGCTCACAGGTCCGGACCAAGTGTGTGGGGCCGAAGTCTGGGGTTGGGCCCCGAAATGCGCACCCTCTGCGGGAATCGTGTGTGCGGGATTTCCTTTTTTCCCCTCTTGCACGCAAGCTAGCAGCCAGCCATGTACACTTTTGTGGCTCTGCTTGCCTGGGCGAACCCACCCAACCCTAGAATCCTAAACCTAAACCCTAAATCCAATAAACCTAAACCTAAACCCTAACACTCTAAACCTAAACCCTAAAATCCAAAAACCCTAAACCTAAACCCTAAAACCCTAAACCTAAACCCTAAAATCCTAAACCTAAACCCTAAAACCCTAAACCTAAACCCTAATGGGCGGCTCCCAACCTGAGCCGAGCCAAGGTCCTGGTCAAGGTCCTGTGGGGCGGAACGCATGTATTGGGGGCAAAGTTAGGCACATAGAGGTTCTCTTGGGTTCTTTGCCTTGCGGCTTCTTTCGCCGAAGTGCCATGTGAGCCTTCCGGGTGGTCCGTTGCGGTGAACACAAAAAGGAAAGACTTGCATTTGGGTCCTGGGGCGATCAAGACACGAAAGTTGCTGGATGTGCTAGGGTTCTGTTCAGCCTAAATTGGTTTGGGGGTTGGTTTCTTCACGGTGTGATTGGTAGGGATTGCTCACCTGGTTGATGGTGGTGGCTGCCTTGACGCGTCAAATTGGATTCGGTTCGGTTAAGGGTTGATTTATGGTGGCTGTAGGGGTATTGAGGGTTTGGGCTCCCCAGCCTCAGGCAGCAGTTGCTGAGGGGTGATAGCACTGGCTGCACCTTTTCTGCAAAGTCTGGGCGGGGCCTGGGCTCGGGTTGAGGGCCTTTTTCGGACAGAGCAAGCTGGCGAGTGGAGCCGGTTTTGGGGGTGCTTGTGTGTGTGTTTTGCGTTCCTCCTAGAGTCTAGAATGGCTCTAAACCCGCTTTTGATCATGTTGTTTCCCCATGAAGATCTCTGACTGTTTGGGGAGAAAGTGTCTTCCCCGCGAAACGGCCAAATCTGAGCAACCATTCCTCTTTTGCCAAAACTCTCCTCCGGGTGCTGAGCTTCGGCCTGGCAATGGTGTTTAAGGTGCAGTATCCCAAAATCGGCGCTGGCAATAGCAACCTGGAGCCCAAACAGCACGGTTTATGCCCCAACTCAATCCCATGCCCACACGCAACAAACAACTTTTGACTACTGGCACTGTTATGAAAGAAGACTCTGGATCAACCGCGATCTTGACCGGTTTTGCTTAAATGAGATCAGGATGAGTGTGAGCATTTGCAAGCGCCTGAGAACATACCAAGGCTTCACTGCCTTCATCCAGGGCAGTGAGTGCCAAAAATGATGTTTCGCTGTTGCGTCCAGAGCAGGTCAGTCTTTACTGACAAGAGGTTGTTCCATAAGCTGTGATGTTCAAGCCGTGTGTGATGAAAGCATGTTACTCTCCAGATATCAGACGTTTCCTTTTGGGAATGTGCTTTGGGACAGAGCTGCAGGTACAATGTATGGCATTTTTGCATATGTCGCGCTGAAACAAGATCTCGGCGTGAGACATGCAGAGTTTCCCGCACAGCATTAGGATGCCCAGAGAAGTTTTGCTGTTGGCCCGGAAAGTCACAAGGATTGCTGTCCCCCTAATGCTTAGGGGGTCCACATCCATCAAAAGGTCTCTTTGTGTTATGCCTGTCCCATGTTTTTCTTGGTCAAATTGAAAAATACTATATAGTCGGCGGGGGCACTTCATGAGTTCCACTGCCTGGGCTTCCAGTTCAGGTGTTGCCAGGGCAGTTGTGCGCTTGCTGTGTTCAAAAACACGGCGTTGCTGTTGCCCTCACTGTAAATGCCATGCCGCTCAGCCTTGTTTGGCATGCTGGGAAGGAATGGGCGAGAAGCTCCATCCATCCCGTCGGGCAAAGGACTTCAAACAATCTTAGAATAAATACATTAATATAATATTTATATATATATATATTATGCATAATCGCAAAAAAAACCACGAGTTTTCGAAGGTCGACCGCCTAAAGTCCGTATAGAGTCGTACGGGCGATTGGAAAATCCCAAAAAACCACGAATTTTTATCTAATTACATTGTTCTATATATATTTATTAATGGGGGCCTATTATTTTTTTAGTACTATACGAAATAAAATTGATAAGTTTAATTAGAATATATAATTTTGTATTTAATTTTTTAATAATTATATTATTAAGTTTATTAATATTTTTGGTATTATTTTAATAAGCTATTATAAATGATTATGAATTTTAGATTTTATATTTATGATATTATAATTTTGAAATATGGTGTTGTTTAATTATTATTATATATAATAAATATAGCACGAAATTGGGTTTGCATTAATGTATATATAATTGGGATTTTAATGAATATATTGAATATTAATATATTTGAGTTTATTGGAGATGTTTTAAAGATGGACAATTTTAATATTATATATCTATTTATTGAAATTCGATTATTTTTATATATTTTTTTTTTAGAAGAATTTAATGGTCGAATGTTTTATGTATATTTTGTATTGTTATAATATAAAATACGAAATAATATAGTTGAGTATTTATATGAATGGTTGTATTAGGTGTTTATTGGATATATATATATGAATATATCGAAAATAATTATATTAATAATTTAAAATTCCGAAATATATAAAATTTTTATAAATCGATTATAGGATGTTTTATATGGCTTATGGCTTATTGTGTTGTTTGTCGGTGAGATTGATAATATTAATATAGATTATAGAATAAATATGATTTTTGTTGGTGGGCAAGGCATTTATAATTTTGTTTGCAGCTTCGCCGGCGCTTTCCGTACCTGATGCGGACTTATGAAAAGGCTCGGCTGGCGGTTAAATAATATCTCGAAATTTGATATCACATAAGCCGAGCTTTTAGGGACTAAGGTCTGAGCCGTTATAGATGTGTTAAGAATAGAGCAAATTTTATAGAGCTCGCGCCGGCAAGACATTTTTGTAATTCGGACATTAATATATTTTATTATATATATTAAAAATTGAAGGCCGGGCTGGTCGTTCTTAGATGTGCTTGGAAAAGAGGCTTATGTCGTTGAGGACGGCTCGATAAGGTCATATTAAAGAGAAAGTGCATGGCACGATGATACCACAAATAAACATAAATAAAAATACAAATTATTATGGTTAACATCTAGAAATGCAAGGCATTGGGCCATCGAAAAACATGTAAGGCCCCATATCTTTGATCTACCCTATTTTGGGGAGTACATATTTGATTTGCCTCCGGTTACCACTCCTGAGGGTGAATAATTCCATCATGATTTCGCCACAAGCTTCGCAGCTTGGAGCGGCAACTAAAATGAGCCTTGAGCCTTTGTCTTGGACTCTGCCTAGGCAAACCATTTCGAAAGATTGTATTCTGCACGCTAGAGACCCAAATATCTAAAGGCGAGTTGCTCAGCAGCACCTTAGTGTATTTCCTAAAATACCACGATGGAGAAAGGAAAAGTGTGCCCAGGCGCTCGATACCAGCCTATAGACACATAGTCAGTGAAAGGCGGTCGCCTGAGCAGGGTGAGAATGGGCTTGTGGGCTGTTGATTTATATAGTTCGTTTAAATAATATTTTATGTAATTCGTTAGTGCAATTTGTTTTGCACTCCTTTAATGTATTATTCTTATGTAATTTGTTCTAATGATTTTCGATGTAATTCGGTGGTGCAATTTGCTTAATAGAAGTATATTTATTCATTTGATATTAAATATTTATAGAAAATCAAATTTGATATTGTTTTTGCATTATTATTAGATATTTATTTTATTGTTTTATTTATCGGATATAATTATTGTTTTTGGAGAAAAATATATATAATAGTATACTAACAATATTTTATTATATATATATAAATATTTATATATATATATATCGAATTATTAGTAATTTCTAGGAAAGGGAATATTGTCTTTATTTATATATATTTATAAATTTTATATTATAATAGTTATTTATATTTAATATATATAATAGGATTAAAATTTTATATTAAACATATTTATATATATATATCATAATTAAATATTTTGTTCATAATATATTTTGTTTTAGGTTTTTATACATAATGGTAGTATAGTTTAATAATTAATTAAGGAATTATTTGTGTAGATTTATGTGTTTTAGTGTTTAATTTGTTATGGTTTGGTTTAATTGATAGTAATTTAATAAAGTTCGATATAATTTAATATAGAATATATATCTTAATAAATATATTTTATTATTTATTTTGGCGAGAATATATTACTTGGTTTTAAAATATATTGTTTTTAATGAATTGTGTTTTAAGATGAATAGGAAAATATATTATAAATTTGTAAAATTTTAAGAATTAAAATGGAAAGGAATCGAAATTTGGAACTATTAAGAATTAATAATAAAAAACATATAATTCAATATTTATTTGTAATATATTATAAATAAATACAAATTGAAAAATATATATATAATTTTAGTTTCGACCCGATTAAAATTAAAATTATTGTACAATATTTTGCTACTTCGGGCCATGAAAATCTTTATATAATTTAGACTCGGATGGACCGTGCCAAGGCTAAGTATTTACAAAAGAATTACCTAAGAAAAACATCGAGAAGGTAAAAGAACACTAAAGCTAATCGTAAATCTTTAAGACAATAAATCGTATAAGGCCCGAAATTATAATCTAAACGAAATAAATATTTAAAATATATATATAATTTAAAAAAAAGAAATATATTAATATAATTAATTTAATATTAATCCATATTTTAACAATTCCAAATATGATAAAGAATCTAACCTGAATATAAATATATCGAAACAATATATAATATATTATATTGTAAATATAATAATCAAAAAATAGGAAATATAAATATTCAATATATAATATAGAATTATTTAATTAGTTAACCAAAAATTAAAATTAATCCTAATAGGAAAATTCCGGAAATTCTCGGATAATCTGATGTGGGCCAGGCAGGCGTAAGATTCAAGGAAGGTCTAGTGTAGATTAATTGTTTGATATATAAAAAATCGTGGTAGTCTGAAATAAGGTATCGTGAAGGTTCGGTAGGGCTCTGCTGAGGTAAGGTTCCATAAGCTTTGTAAGGCTATATTATAGTCGAAAAAATATATTATACATTATTAGAGATATTATCTAAATCTATTAATTCTAATATATTAATATAATATATATTTTTATAAGTGTATATATATATATATATATATATTTAGAGAATTTTATATCTAACCTAATTACATCAAACCACCCCTCAATCTCCGGAATCTACCTTAAACCTTACACTTAGCCTACATTAAACATCCCCGGAACCTTATTCGAACCTAACTCCAGAGCTCTCCCCTAAACCACCCCCCGAAAGTTATCTCTAAGATTATTTAGCTTTCAACTATTAAAAAAATACAAATCATTTCATTTTAGAATTTACAAATATATAATAAAATAATATATTATTATTTATATTACATTTTAATATAAAAATTAGAGGACAATTAACCCGAAAACATTTTTCCCCAGGTGCTCATCCAATCGCGGAAATACCGTTTTATAACGTAACGTATTACAAGCAAAAGGAAAAGCTTACACTACGGCCACAGTTTCTGCAAAGCACTTAGCTCTGTGCAAGATGGCTCTATGCAACTTAGCTCTGTGAAAGTTAGCTCTATGCAAATTACTTTTTGCGAGTGGCTCTATGCAACTGGCTCTGTGCAAGTTAGCTCTGCACGAGTCTGTTCGACACAATGTGCTTTACACGAGCTACGTCGCGCGATTTCTCATGAACATAGTCTATGCAAGTTGCGTTGTTCCAGGCTACTACGCGCAAGTTACTCTCTGCAAGCTACTGTGCAAGTTGCTCTACGCAAGTGCTCTGAGCAAGTTGCTCTACGCAAGTGCTCTGCGCCAGTTGCTCCGTGCAAGCGTTTTGCGCATGTGCAAGTTAGTTTGTGCAAACTGCTCTGCGCAAATGTTTTGTGCAAGTGCTCTATGCAAATAACTCTGTGCAAGTTGCTCTGCGCAAGTGCTGCCGGAGCTATGGGAATGCATTTTGCATACTATTTTTGTGTGTGAAAATTACGATTTTCCAGCCGGAAGTGCGGGAGTATGCTCCGCATACCATGTTTATATTTAAAAGTTGCGATTCTCCAGCCGTAACTATGGGAGCACGCTCCGCACCGGAGCTACAGGAGCAAGCTCTGCGTGCTACATGTACTTAAAAGCTACGATTTTCGAGCCGCAGCTACCGCGGACCAGGGGGGAATCGAGCCCGCGACCATAAGACTGCGAAAGCAGGCGCGCAAACCACGAGACAATTTCCAAAAGCCGTTTCGCGAGCAAGAAAATCGCACGGCACAACGAGAGAGTTTCGACACGCGCAATTTTCGCAAAGGGTTCTTCGTAGAGGATCGTGCGCTCATTTGTTTAACCTCGACCACGCGAATCTTTGTCTTCGTAGAGGGTCGCGCATAGACCGCAGAAATCGTAAAAAATCCTCAATTTTTTGACCTCGACCACGCGAATCTCCGCAAAGGGTCGCGCACGCACCGCGGAAATCAACTACGCGAATCCCGCAGAGGGTCCCATGCGGCTTGCAGAAATACTAAAAAATCCGTAATTTTTTAATATCGACCACATGGATCTCCGTAAAGGGTCGTAATCCCGAGCGATACTCAAATTCCCATCCCGGCATCATAAAAACCTAAACTAAATTATATAATTATTTATGTCGAAACTCTATACAAATTCTACCTAATGTTAATTCTATGCCACTTGGCTCTATATCACGTGGCTCTATCTATATAATTTAGCTATATAATTTAATTCTATATAATTTAATTCTATATAATTTAATTCTTTGTTTTAACTCTATTTAATTTAATTCTATATAATTTAATTATATATAAGTTAGATAGAAATAATTTAATTCCATATATCTTACCTCTATATAGCTTAGTTCTGTATAACTTGTCCAAAAGCTCTAAATAAAAGCGAGAAAAATAGATTTTTCATTTTATTTAATTTACCAAAAAACCACTATATATATAAAATATCAATTCATTTATAATATAATTTATATATTATTATTAATAATTAAACAAAATATATATTAAAACATTGAAAACCAATAATTAATTATATATATATAAATTATAATATATATTATTATATTCAAATTATAAATTTAATATAGTAATTATTTTTTTTTTATATTTTTTTTTTATATATAATAACAATTAAACACCAAACATAAATATAATAAAAATATCAAAAATACATCCTATCCATATTCTATACCATTATATAAATCTCAAAATGAAACCTATTCATCCTAATTAGCATAATTAAATCTCATTATCATTAAATCAATATACATCAATAAGAATTCCAATACAAATCATTATCAAAAATACAACCACAAAAATGCTTAAAACAAACCAATTACACATATAACTATATAATATCAAATCCAAATTGGAAAAAAAACACATCAGTAATGTTATCCACCACAAACAACAATCAAAAGCAATATGTATGTCAGAGCATCAAAAGAAAGAGAATGGGATTGTCAAAATTTTATGATTATTTTCAGGAGTTTGTATCCGTCGTTTGTGACGTGGTGAAGATCTGGGCGGGGACAATCTGAAATTGATGCGTTTGATCGTGCCTACTCTTCCGGGTAGTGAGAGGCAAAGGAAAGCAATTCTGGGCTTCGGCAGGATGCCTTATGATGCTTTCTGTTCACGGTCTGCGGTACCGGTACAGACTTGTTTGAAAAAGATACCACTCTTCATGCGCAACTCAGCTGCAAAGCCTCCACTGTGCGTGTGTTCATGCGCGCAAACCTTCAGAATGAACCTCTGGGTCCCTTTCAGTACATCTTGTCGAACGGCACCCAACCCTGTTGATGGTTGGAAAAGGCTCAGGACATTTGGGAGCGACTCAACAGCTTCGTTTCAAGGGGCATTGTATCTAAGTGTACGAACCACTGGTGTTGGCATGGCAACGCCGAGATCATAGAATCCCACCGCACAGGCCCCCCCACGCTGGTTGAGGTTCAATCAAGCTAGATCGAGGAGCCCTCCCCCCTTGCTTTCCCTTCAAGAACCCCGTTTCGAAGCCCTCAAACACTGGCTGTTCAAAATGGAGCGGTCCAATAGCCAAATCATCAAACTCCCAAAGGATCTTGCAGATTGCCACACTCGGCTTCCGCCTGGTGGTTGGATTGGGGGTTTGGGGGTTCAGGGCTGGTTTCCCATTTACCCTCTAGGGGTTTAAATCCCCAAATCGCCAATGCAAAGCACCAATTCAGGGCTACTTGCCATACAAAGTCCACCGTCTCCACTTTGCAGGGCCTGCCAGTGGCCCGTCCAACGGTTGAACCCTTTCAGGCAGAGAGCGGGAAGCATGGACAGAACAAGGGGTTTAAAGGCAGGAATTCGCTGAACTGGGGATAGGGATCTAAGACGGCGGCAACATATTCTTCTGAAAGTTCGCTGCTCGGTGCTTGGAAGAACTATCTTCCAAAAAGGGGAACGTCTGAGTGTGGCCACATGTGGCCATGGTTCAAAACCTTGTACCCCCCACTGAACATCCAGTTCAATCCCCACTAAAATAGGTTCTACAATGAGTGGTGATCCCAAAATGGTACCGTTGGTTTTGACCCACAGCCACATGTCCATTCATCGACCTCCGGTTGGTTTGACAAATGTCAGCTTCCGCCTCCTGGCTCGGCGCCAGCGACTCTTGCGGATCCGCGTGCATCCTGTCGGGGAATGCTCAGGGGAGTTGATTCGGGGAATGCTCGGGGCCAGGGCTATGTGGGAAAACACACACACACCCACTCTTAGGGGACTCGGTTTCAAAGCCCCAAACTAAAATCAAGCGGAAAGCCGAAACAGTTGTGGAACATGGGCCTCTTTCTGTCATACCAGTTGCTGAGATTCCCGCGCCCTTCAATTGAAGAAAACCTATAGATCCCCCACATGCCTGCAGATTTCGCAACCAAGAAGCGATTGATTCCCATCACGACTGCGACATCTCTGAAGAAAAGGTGTTGTTTCACTGGATCCAGGGCACTAGTTTGTCATTCAATTTCAATAGCCTGTAAAAGGCAAGACGTGCAGGGGTTGCTGAGAACTATCAAGATTCAAGATTGTCCCCCTGAAGTGCAGCTTCAAGCATTGGGGAAGGGTGAAGCTGAAAAGCATCAATATGACAATGAGATCTCAAGCTGCCTCCGAAGTGCAAGAAATGGCAAGGGATGTTTTTCCGGAGCGGAACAATCCCGCAGCACCTGTTGATTTGCCGCATTCGGAGAAGTTGCTTCTGTTATGAGCTGCTTGCAGGGAATGCGCTGCTTGATGAAGTGCATCAAACTCTAAAAGCATGAGCAGCCAGCACACTTTGGCCGCAAGAGTCTCAATCCTGTCCGTCTTTAGATCAATTTTGAGTCTCAATCGCTGCGAGGTGACTGGCACAGCCTGAAACCAATTCACTTGTTTCCCGAGAGGACCGGCGCGAAATTGAGTGCCACAGCATTAGCTGGGAACATGCGGGCATCCCGGAACAGATAAGAAGCACCCGGTAAAGGAATGGATGCCAAGCCATGTAGGGAATCACAAGAACTTGCTGTCGCCTTGATATGTCCCCTGCAGACCTCCAAACAGATACGACCCTGGTTTCCGGTGCGTCCTATAACTTGGGTTCCATAGCCCATTTCAGACAAACCCACTTGCAACTTGAGACTCACATGTCACACATCTGCAAACTGTATCCCCAAGGTGAGCTCACCGCAACATGTGCAGACCCCCCCCCGAGGATCCCCGGATTCGATAGCTCCGAGTAGCTGCAGCGTGTGTCTCGCTGCATTCATCTCCCGCTGCGCTTCACGCATGTAGCCTCAGACCAAAGGAGCTGAATCCATCTCCCGGGTCATCGATTCGGGGCGAGAAAAACATGGAAGAACCACAGTGATTCCATTTCTTCCTTTTGCTTAAGCCCCCGGGAAAAAATAAAATTATGTCCAGTAGTCATAGATTCCCTTTAAAACCAACAGGGGAAAATAAAAAATACTCTTGAGCAAATGGAAGATTTCTCTGAGGGAACCAAGAGAACCACCCTTTAAACAAAAGAATTTGGCTGGTTGCTTGCTGCATCCAGCCAGCTAGAAGCTTCGTAGAGTTTGGGCCCGATTTTGTCTCTCCCCAGAACAGAGTTGCTACATACAGTTGAGCCGGTTGCCTGCGGGGATGATCTCCTTACCGGCCAAGAGTGAAGAATGCTGATGCGACTCAACCCTACCCCCTAGTACATGTTGCTCCCTTCAACTCGATAGAGTGCCCAAGCGAGTTTTGATCAGGAATGCCTCGGGGCAAGCCTGATCAAAACCAGACAGGCGACTTGGACCCGGAGATCCTCACAGAAATATGACGCCATGCTTACGTCTATGAAGGTTCATCAGAGAACCAAAAAGTAAGGCCTTCAACCGCAAAACCAATCTCAAGATCCTATAAACGGCTGGCTTGGACCGAGACACCAGCCGTCTGGGAAACGAGTTGCACGGCCAAATCGAAAACTCGCACGTGTCCGAAAAGCCGCGACGGATCTCTTGCTTTCGTGTCGTTTCATTTACCCGAGTCTGCCATGCTTAGTGGTTGGTTTTGGGTCGTGAGAAAAGGAGTCCCAGGCCAAAGCACCTTTTTTTTTTGCGGGCAGGGGTTGCCCTATTTTGAGACAACCCCAATGCGGCTTCGGCACCTTCCGTCATCTCCTGAGCGGTTGCCAGCTGAACCACACGCAATTGTCTGGCCCTGTGGGGTCCAGCAAAACTGGACGGCTGTCTAGAGTTCAACATCTTGTACCAGCAAACCCTTGTTTTCGAGCACCACAGTCTCAGAAGTCTCCTAAGTACCAGACTTCGCCCATCTCGCCGTTTGGGTGTTTTGGTGGGGGAAATACTGTTTAGGGTGGTCTAGCTGCTACGTCAACTTGGTTGTGCCATCTGCAGCCCCAACACCAATTGGGCCGAGTGTGACCAACATGCCATTTGAAGCCCTTGTTCTCCTGTCCATTCAGTGCCAAACAACCGTGGCACAAGGATGGGAAAGCAACACTAGACGAAACCAAACCAATTTAAACCAATGGGAACCAAATTTCTACTGAACCAACCCAAGCCCAACTTCTACCGGAGTTGTGACCAACGGAAACCAAGCCAAGTCATCTTGAGCTCGGAAGAATTCGGAGCGGCCTGGACTGAACGTTCTCTCTAACTTGGTCGACCGGCCCAGTCAATCAAAACCTGGTGTTTCCTTTTGAATGGAAGGCGCAGAAAAACAAGAACACCCAGAGAAACCAAAAACCACGCCAAGCAAGCAACACACAAAACAGATTACCGCCCCGCTCTCTCCTCACCGTCCGCCCTTGGGTCTGCAATCTGGTGTTGGTTTTGTTTGTTTCGAGGTTATTTGCAGATTGGGGCAGAAACCAAAAACTTTGAGGAAACACAGACACACACACAAAAACCAATGATTACACACTCCATGGTCTGTAAAAAAAAGAGTCTGCATCTATCTTAAACTAACGTTTAAATAGGACATGCTTTCCAAATATGGTTCTAATTGAAGTTTAACTAAATGTTAAATGCAATTGAGCAAAGAAGGCAAGCGTTGGTGGTTTCTTCTGACTAGCCTGCCCCGTAATCAGAGAGAACAGCCAATAGAAACGCAGAAATGCACTGTCAGTTCTATTGGGGTGCAAGGCTTAAATTTTAAGGTGTCAAGATCAGATGTATTTGTTGTGTCTTCAATTCAAACTTAAAGATAAAACAATGTCGAATTGATATAGTTTACTATTCAAATGCGAACTAGATTTTAATCAAAATCCGCGTTGGACAAAAAATCCTATTTAGTTCTCCTTAAGATCGACGTTCTAATTGATCATGTCCTTATTACGTTCCACTTAAATTCCAACTGCATGTCAATTCGATGTATATCTGGCAAGGAGTTCCTAGTTCGATACTCATTGAACAAATCGAAATCTAATTCAAAACACATTTCGCCTTTTATACTTTAAGCCTTGAAAATTAAATATTGCACCCCAATAGAACTGAAATTTCATGTTATTTGAGTTTCTATGGGGTGTTCACTCCTTTCAAACGGCAGGCCAACTAGAAAAGAACAACAAGACTGTCTTTCGTTATTGAAATCCGTCTAACATCTAGTTACACATCAACTTAACCCATGTTTAGAAAGGACATCTTTTTTTTACTTGTTGGCCTACGAACCTCTACTTGACTTTTTTCTGTTTAAAATTCTACTTAAATTCAAATCATAATTTAATCAAACTCCTTTAGAAAGGAATTCTGCTTCCAAACAACTCAAAACAACACCTGCATGTGGAAAACTTCCAGAAAAAAAAAACGGCAAGATCTCAACCTGGATGAAGTCGGCTGTCATGAAGGGCAACAAGCTTACCAAGGTCATGAAGAACTAAGCAAGTGAACCAGGACATTGAGATGTGAAGTGCAAGAGATGTCAGCGGGGCCCCCGAGGTTGTTCCTTTTGGTTTCGCTTCAAGGTCCACAAAAAAAGGGTCCTCAAAAACGACGCCCCGGAATCTTGCCAAGCAGTTCTTGTCCCATTGTTACTCTGTAGCTTCATTCATGGAATCATCCCAAGGCCCCCCAGTTCAAGTCCCACCAGCATAGTGTTGACCGCGCATTCATCAACCAAAGTTTAGTGGGAAAACATCACTTTCTGAAGGGCCCCCACCCCCAAAAATAAATCCACTAGGGTTGATTCATATAAAGCTCTAGAGGTTGATTCCCCCTTCTTTTCCTCCATCGTTCTTTTCGAAAACCGGCTGTTTCCCTGCATTTCTGATGGTTTTTCTGGAAGGATCCCTGGAAAGAATGGGGAAGTGTCCCCTAGAAAAGTCGACACTAAGGACAACGTTCCTCACCCACTCCGAGGCGCCGTGATGGGTGCAAACGCGAGTCGCCCGCGGGTGCCCTGCCACCGCTCCGCCGGCGCGGCGGTGAGGTCGCCTATGGAAACCCTTGGGCCCCAAACTTTTGGTTGGAACCAGATCTAGGTCCTCCAGATTTGAGAGGTTAGAATAGGTTGGTACCAACCTTTCTCTTTTTCGTTTATTTCAGAACAGGAACCCTCCCCCAAATAAGGGTAAAGGGCACTACTGGGGGACCTAGAGATGTGCAGGGGCAGTGGCTACGAGGTGAGGAGCTCCTGAGAGCCCCGGTGTTTGAAGCAGGTCCAGCCAAGCTGAGTCACCCTGAGCCAAAAAGGCTCAGAGGTCGGCCAGCAAAAGGTGTCTCTTCTTCCGGGGGGGGACCCGCGAAATTCGTGATTTCCCTTTAAAACCTGCAAAGAAAGGGGTGCCCCTAAAAAAACAAAACATCCCCACCAACGCTGTGAAATACAGTGTTTTATAGCATGTTTCATGTTAAACTCACATCCCCACCAACACCCGGTCTCTAAAAAAAAGACGCGCCAAGTCGAAGCAATTGGCAACAGTTGAAGGCAGCAACTTGGTTTGCCTCCGTTTCAAGTAAGTCCAGGAATTTATAGAAAGAGCAATGTAAGTGGGTTTAATGTAATGCAATGTAATGTAATGTAATGTAATGTAGTGTAGTGTGGTGTAGTGTAGTGTAGTGTAGTGTAGTGTAGTGTAATGTAATGTAATGTAATGTAATGTACTGCAATGTAAGTAATGTAATGTAACGCAATTTCCTAGTACCCCCTGCCGCAAATTCTAAAACAAAAAGACACATGTGCCTATGGACAAAAGGCAATGAGTGGCTCCCGAGGCTCCGCAATGGGTCTTCGTGGAGACCCACTAGCCCATTTGGGTCTGTGAGATGCCGGGAAGGGATAGAAAAAACCACGCAATAAAACACCAGTGGGCCGGTTTGTCCCAGTAGTTTTACTGTGGATGGACAAATCCTGCAGCGCTTAGTACAACGGGTTTACCTGTTTAACCCCCAACATTTATAGGGTGTCCTCCATCCCAACTGGTGCAGGATGTTGTCCATCCACAGCGCTTTATCCATCCCAACTGGTGCAGGATTTTTCCCATGAACCTCTAATTTGGCCTGAATAACGGTTTTTTGACCCTGGCAGCTATGAAACAAGGAACGGGCTTGTCCAATCCTGAGTGGTTCTTCCTGCCTGAACGAGCAAAAAGGTGATATGACCTTTTGCAGGTTCCAAATGTCCGATCGTTTGCTGGAAGTGGGCCTTCATATGGTGTATGTTGGGAAAAAGTGGGAGTCGTCTATCCCAACTGGTGCGGAGTAGATTTTGTCCATGCAGGATGTTGAGGTCTTCGAGTGGGGGGCATGTGCACTTTCATGTTTGATAAGAAGATAGTTCATGTGAGAGTCCACCGGCGTGGTCTCATACACTTGTTGAAAAAATGGTGCAGTCGCTCTCGCTCTCTCTCTCTCTCTCTATCTCTCTCTCTATCTCCCCCCCCCCCCAAATGCTGAATTCAATGTGAATCTTCTGTCGGAGATGTCAGTCGCACTTCGCTGCCGAGCTTCCAATGTTGGCTCTGCACAAACCCCAATCGCCTCGCCAGGTCAGGAACATAGCACACTGGTCATATCCAGGGTCAGGACAACATCACACACTGGAGTGTATAAAATGGCTCCGCATCTACCCTCAACAAGAACCAGGGGTTCAAATCCCCAAACCACCAATCCAAACCACAAATTAGGGGCTACCTGACCACAAAATATCCAAGCATAAGACATAGGAGATGATGCAATGGGATCTTTTGTTTGATCCTGCCTTTCCAAACATCATGCGAAGAACAAAAAGAGGCACAAACGCGAACATGTAAGAACCACACATCGCAATCTGCAAATTTTGCGTGGCAAAGCCAACAAAAGAGACAGAAGGGCAGGCATTGCCTCCAAATGAAGGGAGAACCTTGTTAAAGAATGTAAGGCCAGCCCAAAATGGGTACCCTCAAACAAACTGGCGGAACCCCAGCAGTGTACCTGGCGGCTGTCCTGAGGTTTTCCTTTGAAGCCGACCAACATGGGGTACCTAAGGGGGAATTCGTGGCTTTCATAATGCCACCCGGGTCCCAGGAACATGGGGAAGCCTCACTAGTCAACATCAAAACGTCGTGCACGAACTTCCATTTGCTTCTTCGCCCCCTGGAAAAACAACAACGTCCAGCAGTGATAGATTCCCGTTAAAACCAAGAGGGGAAGGGATGCAATTTCGGCTCACCAAACAATGGGCTACATTTAGAGCAAAACGGCAAACCCGAACGTGTTCCTCTAAGCCCTCCAAACAAAATGGGGAACCCCAAAGGATTTCCTTGTAACTCTCAAAAGCAACTGGGACCCCAACGACTTGTAAAGCCACCTAAAAATCGGCGATCCTCAGGCCCCAAAACACGGTTCCAGCCCGGCGACCCTTGGCGATCTCACCCAGCAGCTGTGCCCGAGACCATCGCCTCGTTTGACGTGTTGATTCCAATGCAGGGCCCTTTGGTGGACATCTCGCTGACGATTTCTCGACCCGCCCGACCGACACGGGAGAAGGCAAGAGTGCCTAAGGACCCTAACCCTAACCCTAACCCAAAAACGGATCTGACCCCATGTCCACCAACCACCTTTGAGGTTGCCTATTTGAACTCAGAGCCATACGAGGGTCCTTACATTACGTGAAGTGTCCCAGCAAAAAAATGAGCCCATTCGCCCGCCAAAGCGGCTTCAAGTACAAGTGTCCAGGCCCTTAGGCCCGTAGGCTTCTGAATTTTAACAGGGATCCTTACAACTCCACCCATGGCAACACAGCAGTTGGTTTCCCCTTATTTTCCCATGAACACCGACATCAAGAAGGGTACCACCAACAGGGATCCGAATGCAGGAAAACACCTGAACATTGCAACTTGTATATGGTGGGTTTCCAACCTTATTTTGGTGGAAAAAGCCACATGTTTCAAATGGTGGCAAAATGGAGATCTTTTAAGGAGCCCTGAATAAGATGCAACAGTTGTGCCATTGTTTTAATCAAGCCCAACGTGCGCTTTGCTCATGCCAGCCAACGCGGTTGAAACAAACAACGTGGTTTGTGTCTAAGAAATATGCCTGGTGGCTTTTACGTTGGTGGACAGGAGGGTAATGGTGGCTCCAAAAGGCTCCACTTGGGAACCCTGACCCAAAAACGGCCGATCCGTTTCTGGCGGATCTTCTGCCAATCCCCTCAGGTGGAAACCGGCCAGCCGCATGTTTAAGGGGAAATGTCGCCCCAGTTTGGAAAGGAAACACGTCGTTGGATTTGTGCCAAGGACTTCGGCTCAAACAATACACTCAAGGGAACATCCAAAGCCCCACACGTCGCGGCAACTGGCAACCCTCCTTGGCAGGACTTGGCACATCCGATTGGTGGCAGAAGGCTGGCCAAACACACTACGCGCGTCCGCAAAATCGCGCCTAGGAAAAGGTCTTCTCAAAATCGAGAAAGTGGGGGTGTCGAAATCTATCCTTCCAAGGGAAATGAATGGCTTTGCCGAATCTTGCGCACTCCACCTTTCGAAAGGTTTAGCAAGCAACCCAGTGTTCAACATCAGCCTTTCACGGCGCCTTTCGCGAACATGATTCCTGTGATGCCCTGTGCCCAGTGTTTCCCTTTCGCGCAACTAGGACAACACCTTTACTAACTTCTTTCATCGGGATTTTGAACGCTCAAATGAGTCACAATCAAAACCCGCTACACAACTTGTCGACCCAGAACCATGTAAAGAACTAAGAAGGCGATATCCGCAGCTATTTATGGCTGGGGTCGTCCCTTACTAACCTTCACCTACCCGAGTTTTCATTGTGGCTCAAATCGAAGGCTGTCTCAACTGCCCTCAGATCCCCTGCTAAAAGTGACCAACTTTCAGTTGGTGAAATGGAAATCCAACCACTAAACCAACTAAAAGATCTAAAAGGCGAAGGAACCGGTTGGCTGGGAGCCACCAAGTCATGACTTGGACCATTTGACTTGGCACTCTTCGGCCATGCGGCGCGTCGCCCCAGACCGCGAAGACCCGGCCCATAGCACCCTCGAGGCCCGCCAGGTTGGCTGGCCGCAGCTGCTTGCCCTGGCGGCGTTTTCCCCAGGACAGGGCTCCGCGAAAATTGGCCATCGAAAACGCGGGCTCTTCGCAGAGGTGTCCTTTTTGTAAAAGTCGAAAATCGATGGGTTCCACCGGTTTGGATGGGGCTTAGTACCCATTTGCCAAAGAAAAACCCATCCATTTTCCCACCTATGGTTCTTCGGCCTCTTGGGCCTTGCGAATCTGGATGCGGGGTCAATTTTGTTTGCCCCAAAGGGCCTGCTTCGACGGTGAAAAGATGAAGCACATGGGTGAAACCAACAGACCGAGTTGGCACGCCCCTTCCGGCAAAACAAGTCACGAGGAGCCGAAAGCCTGGCAACTCCGATTGCGCGGCTCGGCCTTTTCTCCGCTCTCTTTCTGCGACAGCGCCTGCCTCTAAACACCCGACTTCTTCTCTACACATCCGGGTTGGAAAAATCTGGAAACCCCACTGGAACCGGCTGGGGTTTCCGAATATGGAAATATCAGAAAACCCCCCAGAAATCGCTCCCGGAGCGTCGGGAGCCTCCGGGCACAAAATGGGCGCTTGTTCACCTCCCCCCCAAAGCGGCCTTAGCCCTCAGCTTCCTTTTTTTGGGGTACCTTCAACAAGGACACACACACAAAAAAAAAAGCGCGCCCACTGCCATGTTTTGGAAGAGGTCTCAACAAAAAAGAACGAAAACGACTACCTTCAGCGCCTCTCACCTCCCGGGCCATTCCGAGAGCCATCCCTCGCTTCGATCCGTCGATCCATCTCAGCGACTCTTCAAGTCCAAGCCCTCGAAGGCGCCCGAGTCCAAAGATTGACCCATGGAGTGCAAGCCTCGGCGCTTTGGGCGAGGCCCGCGGTATTTTTGTTTTGAGTGGGGATGGAGGTGCACGCCAGAGCCACCTGCGGCATTGTTGGTTTTTAGTGGGGATGGAGAGGCATGCCAGAGCCATGGTTGTTGTGATTTTTGTGCAACATGTGCATGGTAGTTGCTGGATGGCGTGAGCCATGGTTAGGAGTCCACCGCCAAAAATAGAAAGGGGGGGTTGTGCTAAGACAATAAAGTCTGCCAAAGTCATACACCCATGGAACACACCCCATTGTCCCTTAGGAATGTAGAGCAACAGGTACTCCTTGGGTAAGCCTCAACAAACTTCCACATGCTTCCCAAGTGTCCAAAAAGCCCCCCCCCAAGATTGGCTTCCTTTCCAACTTCCTTCAAACAGACTAAAAGAAGAGGCCCCTCCATATCCACATGCCATTGTCGTGGACGTGCTATCAAGGGCAGGGTTTGGAAGATATTATGTACGATACGAAAGTGGGATTCCCATCTCTAGTGCTTTTTCACTTTGAAGGGGATTGCCCTGCCCATTCCAAGAATGTCACTATCTAAAACAGCATGGCAATGGGTGCTGTTTCCGAGACAAGGGCATAGACGCCATATTCTGAGTGCCAACAAAATGGCCATGATTCCCCAAGCACCATCGGGGCGTCCTTTTTTGGGAGTACCTGTTTTGGGAGTACCTGTCTGTAAGCACCTTTCTTGGGAGTACCTTTTTCAGGAGTGGTCTTGAGGGGAATCCACAAGGAAACCACACCGCGCCAACGATTTCCGACGTCCCACGTGTGGAAACCTCCGCAAGTCGGGCACTGAAGGCCCGACCCATGTCCACGTACATGGTCATTCCTGCGCACGAGGAACGCTTGGAGCCTGGGGCCCGAAGAGGCCGTCCTGGGGCTGAAGCGGTATGGTTTCGCTCAGAAAATGCTCCCAAACCCCCGGCAAATGGAGATGTGGACCGTGAAACTCCGGAGAGGACACCAAGTAGTTCCCCTTTGAACGGCCCACAAAAAGGCCAAGGGCCTACACCGCTTTCCCATGTGCGCGGCGATGGTCAGGGCTCTTTTAAGAGGAAGCCTCGTGTTTGTGTAAAAAACCTCCTGCTTTCTTCTTTTGGTGACTGGAAGAACCTCCCGAAAGCCGAAAGCCACGGAACACAACCTGCCACTCACCGGAACTTGTTTGGGCCAGGGGTGATGGTTTGGACAAATCTTGCAACCAGATGGTGGGTTTCCCTTTGGTTTAGCTTTAAAACTCCACCAAAAAAGGGTACCCTCTCAAAAACAACAGACCGGGGTACCCTCAAAAACCAACCGACCCAAGCGGTTCTAACCGAACCGACAGCCGGCGGCTCTGCCTGGCCTGTGACGCCAGAAGTGAGGTCGGTCAGCAGACACAAGGCGGTCCGCCCCACATCCTCCGCCTGGGCCCGGTGTGTCCAGAAACCCACTACAAAAAAAGGAGGTCATTACCTTACCAACTCCACCCATGGAGGCAACACAGCAGTTGGTTTCCCCTTATTTTCCCATGAAGACCGACATCAAGAAGGGTACCACCAACAGGGATCCTTACAGAAAACATCCTGAACATTGCCTTGTAAATGGTGGGGATCCCCTTCATTTTGGTGGGAAAAAACACATGTTTCAAATGGTTGCAAAATGGAGATCTTTTAAGGAGCTCTGATAAATTTGACCCATGGGAATTGAGGTCCACCGAGAGTTGGCCATGAAGATAGCGAACAGGCCTGGCAAGATGGCAAGGCGCAAGGCGTCACAAAACCGTCGCGCTCAATTCACCCGAAGCGGAATTTCTTGGCTCAGAATATTTTCCCCAGGCTCCCTTTTGGATGGCTCTGAAAGGGAATCCAATTCGGAACCTGCCACTGTAAATCGAAACCCACATAGGCTGATTTAGGATTGACTTAGGGCGGATTTTCCTGGAAGTGTTCTGGTATCACACAGGTGAGAACCAAGCCTTCATTGAAAGATGGAAGAAGGAAACGACCAAAATGGGTCGCGGAGTGGGGATTACGAAACATATCTCTCCTTAAGAGACATCCATGAAATCATTGGCTCCCTGCTGGTCTCCTTTGGGATGAACCCCAAAGGGGTCCTTCTGGTCCATCTTGACACGTACGCATGCGGGCAAGTCGTTTTTGTTGAGGGCACCCGTTTTTGGGTTGATTTCAAAGGGACAGATTTCTGGCTATGTCCCCTTCTTCGAGACAAACATCTCTAGGCACATTGCTGTAAATTGGAAATAAAAAAATCCGCAACAAAAGACTTTCATCACGAGTGGAACTGCTCAGCTGCTCGCCCAACGTCCAAATCAGTGAGCTCCTTTGCCCTAATCACCCATGTGAGCACCCAAAACCCAACAGCTGGTTGTACCAACGTGGCCATAAAGGATTATGTGCTACCCCCAAATGAACCAGGTAGGAAAAAACTCGCCCTGTGGGTTTGGGGGTTCAAAGCTGAGAAGCATAGAGCGGGTTCGCCAGCGGGGCGTTGTCGACCTCGCAGGTCCGAAACCCAGTGAACAACCCCGAGAGCCTTACCTCACTTGCCCCGTTCGGACTCAGAAATAACAGGTGATAACCTTTTGGGACCATGACCATAGATCAAACAGGGGAAACTAAAAGGTCACAAGGTCGCTTTGGGCAAGTAAGTTACTCAGGCGTACCAAGGCTTAGTACTTGACTGCTGGGTTCCAAAGGTTTCATGCTGATGCCCCATGTTCCTATCGCCCGGAAGCTCCAAAGGCTCCATGGGTCCCAGAGTGCAGCCAAGAGGCCGAGTAATCCTGAGATCTGTCCGTTGAATGCATGACTCGATTTCGCGCGGCTTCTGTTCTGGATTGCCCGAACCAAAAAACGAGTGCCCCTCAGCTGACCAAACATGAACTCATCTCACGGGTGCTTCCCACACATATAAGCCCAAACATCTTGCAGCAACGGGGCCATGTTTTCCAACTCGGACGACTTCCGATGGCGTCCGGATGGCTTCCCTCAAAATACCATCCGAAGTCCACAACTCAATGTAATCAGTGGAAACCATTCATGGTAAAACCTAGAGGTAAGAAACCTGGAAGCACTGGGCAAGGGAGTCCGTCCCCTCAACGTTGCCGTGCTTCGATCGCGCGCTCGATGAAGGTTTTCTCGCCATCGCCGCCAATGGCAGAGGCGGCTCGCGACTTCAGCGGTCCCGCAGAGATGGTGTTCACTCGAATGCCATACCTCAGTTGGGTGACCCGTTGAATAGGATCTAACAAACGGGTTCTTTTCGGATGAGAAAAATTGGATGATGATAATATTGATGATATTGATGATTGATGCTCAGGGGAGGGGGCCAATCTGAATGCCCTGGATTGTTCATTGTTTGTTTCACTTGTTTCTTCCCATGGGTTTCCAAAAAAAACTGCATGGCCAATCTGGTTCACAGTCGCAAAGCGCGCTTTCACTGCTCGACTGCGCGGAGCCAACTAGAACCTGGGTGGATGAAGGTTAGTAGGGAATGAAAGAACCCCATGCGAATGGGCTTGGTCCCTGAAGAATCCGGGCTAAGACTCATCTTTGACCTCCTTGCGGCAAGGCTTTCCTGCCAAGGTTTTGATCGTGAGACATGGGACCCAGGCATGTGCATGTTGAAACCCAGTACATTGAAATCAAACTCCAAATAGGTGGCTGCACGCTGCTTTCAAAACTGTCCCCCCCCCCCTTCTCGGGACCCAAGAAAGGGGTCAAAAGGTAGCCCCCAGGCTGGCAGGTCTCCCATCCGTCACCTGCGATAGTCATAAAGCTGCCCTTCACCCATTCAACCAGACTAGAACCGCCAGGGGCTTTAGGCGCTGTGCTTTCCAGTATATTGCACTGGCGAAGAGTTACTCTTGGAAGAGATCTATATATTTATAGATATATACTGTTGAGTCTCCCAAATGGCAGCCTTTCTTGTTGGACTTTCTTTTGAACCCATCCGAAACTATGGTCCGATTCGTTGCGGAGGCTGCTCCAAGGACCTTACGACAAGGATAGGCAAACAGGCCCCCTGATAGTGGGACACCAAAGAAAACCGGTCACCTAGTCATCGGCTCGGCTCGTGCGACCTTCGATCCAGAGCAGCCAAGACACTTTCTGCCAGCCTGAGATGTGCGAGCGCACAGTCCACAGTGTGC